TTACTTACATATTTATATATTGGTCAGCCCAGTCCCTTAAATTCATATTGAGACCAAACACACAATAGTTAAACTTGACACTCTTGAGGGAGATATTATCTTTTTCAGATCAGACACCCTCAAACAAAACAACCTGTCTTAAAAATAACGAACCTAAATGCGAGATAATTTGTGATATGGCACCACCTAGTGGTCAAAGGTAAATTTATGTTAGGAGTCTAAACAAAGTTACGAAGGTATTCAGGACACCCACGTGTAACACAAACCAAACCCGTAGGAGGTGTGGGGAAACTTGAACCATGACGGGCATTTCCAAGGCCAAAATTCCAAGGCTTAAAGTGAAACCAGTGGCAGCAGTGGTTGTAGAAATGGACGAAGGTTGTAAGAGGCATTCCCCAAGATAGAGGGGAAATGTGAAAGATGATTCTGGTTTTGACATTAGATGCCTCTAGCTAGGCCCTTTACCAGGTCCAAGGATTTTCTGAATGATCTCAGAGATTCTGGGAGCATTCAGCCTTGTTCTAGGTTCACTGTCCTGAGTTTAGGAATGCTTTGGACAAGGCTGTGTTTACCTGAGGTAGATAGAGGACAGGAATGAAGGAAGAGCAATAATGCAGAGGGTACTTGGATGTGCCCTGTGGTCCTATTACATATTGTTACATGCAAAGTTTAAGAGTCACTTGGCCTCACACATGTAGAGGCTGATGTGCTCATATTATACACACAGAAGGCTGGGGTTGGGAGAAGGCAGTTGAGGTCCCTGAAGGCTTGCCCAGTCATTACCATCTACAATTTCCCCGTCACCAAGCACACACACACACCTATTAAGATGTTTTAGGTTCTGAAACTTGCACATCTCTCTGTCGCAAAGAATTATGATATCAATTTGTTGTTTTCTGACTCTGCTCATTTCCTTCGGGAATCCCCAAGATATGTAAAACCTGTCTGTTTACCTAAAGGTTTAACAGGACTTGGTTTTCCTTCTGTTGTAGTCAACTACTAACATTTATCAATACAGTTGCCAAGCAATGGGTAGGAAAAGGAGGTTTCCAGACAGCCTCCTCTCTGTCACAGAACGTTCGGGGGAATTCTTACCTATCATTGACAGTTCAGGGATATTTAAAACAGTTGCTTGACCTCACCTCTTCATTTGCAATGGCCGAGCACTCTTAAACACAAAGAAACTTAAAATTATTCATGCCAGGCATGGTGGCTCACGCCTATAATCCTAGCACTCTGGGAGGCAGAGGCGGGTGGACTGCCCGAGCTCAGAAGTTCGAGACCAGCACAAACAAGAGTGAGACTCTGTCTCTACTAAAAATAGAAAAACTAGCTGTGTGTTGTGGTGGTGCATGCTTGTAGTCCCAGCTACTCAGGAGGCTAAGAGGATCTCTTGAGCCCAAGAGTTGAAGGTTGCTGTGAGCTATGATGGGCAACAGAGTTAGACTCTGTCTCAAAATATATGTAATATATATACACACACACATATATACATATATATGAACATGGTATGGAGAGCCTAAGATATCAGAATCACAGAGTCTTTACCCTTCCTGTCACTTCTCCATCCCTAGGACCCTTTCCTTCATGATCTAAGACATGAAGTTCTAGCCATCATATTTGCATTATCAGCAGGATGGAAGATTGGGAGAAAAAAGAGCAAAAGAAGACATGTTAGCAGTCTTTTAAAGCAGTTTGCCACAAGTTTTCTCTTTGCATCTCATTGCCAAGAACCTAGCCATGTGGCTACACCAGACTGCAAGGGAAACTAGGAGAATGGAAATGTTTGATCAGGTGGTTATATGCCAACTTAAAATCAGAGATTGCATGGCTTAAGATAATGAGGAGATGTCAGGATAGGTAGCTAACAGTCTCTACTTCAGACATGTTTGCATGTTCCATTATTTTTGAAAAGGTGGAGGAAAAGTGGAGTTCTCAGAACCTTAAGAAATTAGTGGCTCAGCGCCTATAGCTCAACTGGCTA